GCATGCGACGCAAACAAATGTATAATGTGCCATTTTTTTAGATAATTCGCTAGTAATTTTGATAAAAATCAAAGACAAAAAAAGAAGATAGAAATGATGACTTTAATAAATCATCTGTTTTATTTATTGATATAATTTATTGGTATCTATTATTTATTGATTGAAAACTTATATGAACAATACTTTACATTCAATAAAAAATGAATTTTTTCTTTTAAGATCATGATAAGAACGAAAAAGACCAAAATCGATGATAACGTTCAATTCATGGCTTACATGCAGAGGATTTACAGATTTTTCTGATTTTCACTGAAAAAAATAATAATTCACTAACTTGAAATAATTCAGCATATCATTCTTTTTCTACGTGATTCTATATCCTAAATACTAAGTAAAACACTACATGAGCTAAATTGGAGGCGACCTAATGAACAGTACTTACTATACTGTAGATAAGATACATATAATGCGTTTCGCTAATGTTTTTAGAATATAATTATAAATGTATGATATTGTTACAATCGTTAAGAGTCATTACAGAATACTATCCTTAACGTATAAAATAATCAAGAAATATGTAGAAATATTTATAGTACAAAATATTATCATATTATTTATACAAATTCTTATATCATCATGTATAGAGTAGAGCAAGGTTAGTTACAATATCTTTTTGTTAAATTATTAATTATTATAAATCTTGGACACTATTATGATAGAATAATAAAATAAAAATAATCTTAAAATGGCTCAATATAAACAATAAATAACAAGAAGGAGCTACAAGTCAGATTTTTATGTATTTCAAATTTTTAGAACATACGTTTCGATCTTATTATTGGATTATTCTCAGTGTATACATGTAGAGAAACGCAAATTTAACAAAATTAATAAAATGATTAGATACAATTTCTGTAGATTATAGTGAGATTATATTATAAGCAAAGTGTTGGTAGTACTCCTTCATATTTATCTTCTGTCGCAATAATGTAATGCTTTCAGTCTTGTAATATTTTCAGTTATATTCTTCCATTATCGTTATTATTATATTCTTCCAGTCGATTATATCGGTAATTCATGTGACTCAATAATTAAATACTTATAAATTCTTAATACATTCCGTAAATAAGAAAAAAATTTTGTTAATTATACAAAGAGGCTCAAATAAAGTGGCTCAAATATCCATGAGGTTGAGCATCCTCAAAAGATAAGGTAAGATAAATTAAGATGAAGATAATCACTTAATAAGATTATATATTAAAAATATGAAAAGATTTTGTATATATTAATCAAATTTTTATTTATAATTTCCATCTTAAGTATATATAATAATTTATAGGTAATACGCTCTCTCTTTAAATGTTTTAATTAGTAAAATTTAAAAAAAGAACTAAAAATTTTACTCCTTATAACAATAATTAAAATATATATTTATAATCGTTCAACATTGGTTCACAGAATAAATAAAGCATAGAAGATTCATAGAATAAAAAAAATTGATAAAGGCAAATTTCATTTAAACAGCTGAGTTTATAGTTGTAAGATATAATTTTTTAATCCAACACATCAGTGTTGACTGAAATATATTTTTTTTTATAACTAAAAGACCATAAATAAAATAGCAACGCTTGTATATTAAAGTTAAAAAATACACTAATAACTTAAATTTAAAAAAATACATCTGGTTTTAATAATCGTTTCCAATTACCATATAAATCAAAGAAAATACTCTGCATCTATATAATATATAAATTTACTTTTGATGCACGAAAATGAAAAAGCGCATATGTTTAGCTGTTATTAATAGCCGGATACA